CAGTAGCCAAGAACTGGGAACTTCGCCAGGAAGCGTGGATCAAGCTACAGTGTGGACCAAATTGCAAGACAAGTGTTGCCAGGGTACTAATACAGTGTGGCCAGTGAATTCGGTGGTACTGTTACTCAACCAGCTAAGGGACTGAAACGGTGAAATTAGTGCCTACTAACTTGTCTGTGCTGTCGTGTATGCTCAATGATATAGAGATGGAGGAAGACAAAGTAAAGAAATTTATTGACACAAGGGACGAGGGAATTTTGGAAGAGTGCACCAAGGCCCAGCTCCAACAAGTGGCAAACCACTTTGGGATCAGGTTGAGGACGACTAAGGTAGCGGAGCGAAGGATAGAGATCATGGCACAGCTCACAGCTCGAGAGGAAGCGACGGGAGAGGAGCCATCTCAAGAGGAGCCGTCCCGAGGAGAGCCGTCGCAAGGTGAACCGTCCCGACTAGGGCCACCCCAAGCGCCTACCAGTGTGGAGAGAATTCACAGTGAACATGGGAGCAGTGGAAGGTCCAGCTGTAGTAAGAGGAGCCTGCAACTGGAAATAATGAAGATGCAACTGGAAGCCCAGCTGCGACGAGAGGAAAGAGAAGCGCAAATGCAGCGAGAGGAACGTGCAGCTGAGCTGCAGCGAGAGGAACGTGCAGCTGAGCTGCAGCGAGAGGAACGTGCAGCTGAGCTGCAGCGAGAGGAACGTGCAGCTGAGCTGCAGGCGAGAGGAACGTGCAGCTGAGCTGCAGCGAGAGGAACGTGCAGCTTTAAACCCAAACAAATGCCTCTAACCCCTTAACTGTGTTGCCTCCAAATATGACACCCCCGCAGTGCGCAGGAAATAAATTCTCTGGAAAAAATTATTTTTTTTTCTTTTTAAAGTGTCAGAAACCCCTCCCTCAGTATGGGTATGTAGAAAAAAATCGAAATTGTACTTACTTTGGCTGGTATGGGGTCTGTAAGTTGGGGCGTGACGTCATCATTCCCTGTTCGCCCGTGACGTACGCTCCCGGGGCCAGTATGGCGCTCGGGGCGGGGCGCGCGAGTTGTCGCGAATATATTTTCGTTCATTTTTTTTTGCACAGTTCCAAATACATTTTATTTGTTTTTACGTGCTAATCCTATGTATAGTGAACACGTACACTATATTATGGCAGTAAAACATCCGTACTGTCCGAAGACACTGTGTTACAGGCATGACACTTGTGTACACATATGCAGCACATATTTACTATGTATCATGCTAATTTATGTATATATACAATCTATTTACACACTATACACTGTCACACACTATATACATTCACCATCAACACACTCACAGCCACACCCAGCCAGTCTCCCTGACTCCAACATCTTACTCGCCAACATTGCTTCTCCCACCATACTGTTATAGTTCTTATTACACATGTTCTATATATCTATCTACATGTTTTATTTACCAGAACTATGCAAGTAAGCCGGTATTGTGTCCAAACAGTACAGTGGCCACCATACACTGCATGAAAATCCCACAGCCGACAGCAGACAACGCTACGATTACGTCACCTCCCTCACCAAAATAGGGCCTCACAACATTCTCCTGTTGCTGTTCTTACACTATATACACACACTATATATACCCATGTACATATGTGTTGCCCATAGCGAACCACTAAGCTAGTATGGTGAGCAAAACAAGAGTGGCAGTCACACACACGATGAGGCTACCTCAATTCTCGCCCTCCCTCCCTCACCAAAATTCCTCCTTCCACAATACTAAGCACAACGCTAATTATAACCACAATCCTGCTATTATCACAATCCTGGTCACTAATTCCTGTAAATTAATAATTGACCACACATTTATTTTGAAAAGGAACCTAAGAAATCATTTGAAGATTCCTAGATGGACGAAATAATGCTGTGGTGCTGTTACTAGCGCTGTGAACAGCGTGAACAGCATTGAATTACTGATATTTGAACATTGTACCCAGTCATTATCATACTCAGGCTCTTCTATAACACTATCATGGCTAAATAATACAAGTTATATATATATATATATATATATATATATATATATATATATATATATATATATATATATATATATATATATTGACATTATTTGGCGATGCTGTGGTCACACGCTGAACAGCAGTGCTTTGCGCTCATGCTGTGAGCGCCTTGGTTGCTCACACACTATTGAGGCTCCCACACCCTGGAATGTGGACCACAATTTTTTTTAAAGATGCCATCTGTTTACAAGAGCCCTGAGGAAGCTGATGTGAACCCCATGAAGCCGCGGGAGTTTTGAATGGAACGTGAAAAATACAAATACCCGGAGGCGCGTTGCGCAAACCAGATGTGAGCCTGCAGGCGCGTTGCGCAGTTCAAGGGCTAACCACTGGTTCCAACGAGTTCGCAACAGCAACAATCCCAGCCCTCGAAAGATGCACCCCATCATGAGCATACATTTCATTTCTCCCATAGAAGTGTTCCCAGTTGTCTATGAAAGATATTGCATTTGATTTGCAATATCTTTCCAGCCAGCAATTGACACCAAGTGACCTCGACAACCATTCATTCCCAACGTTCTTTCTTGGAAGAATGCCACATATGATTGGGATTCCTCCCTTGCTCCTAACTAATTCTATGGCTTTGTTAAATTTCTTTATCAGTTCCTCACTCCTAACTCGTCCAACATCATTACCCCCTGCATGGTATTGTCCTACTCTTAGATACATGTTACTAGCCTTATTGTCCACATTTATTTATTTATTTATTTATTTATATACAAGAAGGTACATTGGGTTTGTGAGAATTTATAGCATAGTACAGTATTTACACTCTTGTAAAGCCACTAGTACGTGCAGCGTTTCGGGCAGGTCCTTAATCTAACAGATAATTTTAAGTAGGTAAATTCTATCAGAATTAATAAAATGATAACAAATACATTGCAAGAAAAAAAAATGAGATGAGAGAGATTAGTAAGTATATTAAAGCACATTGGTATATTAAAGCTCTGATTGATTACATTGACAGCTTGATTGGTAATTTAAACAAGATTAATAGACACCATACAGCAGGTTGACAGCACATATAAGAAGACAGCAATGATCACAATGATAAAGATGTTCAGATTGGGTACATAAAGATTGGGAGACTGGGTAGCAATAGATACAGTGCAATTTTAATGGAAAAGATAAAAAAACTATGAAGATGAAATTAGGTACTTTTTAGTATTGTTTTTGAATGACGCAAAAGTTGGACAGCTTTTCAATTCAATAGGGAGTGAGTTCCATAGACTGGGTCCCTTTATTTGCATAGAATGTTTACACAGATTAAGTTTGACTCTGGGGATATCAAAGAGATATTTATTTCTTGTGTGGTGATAATAGGTCCTATTACATCTGTCCAGGGAGAGTTTCAGAGCAGGATTTGCATTTAAGAACAGGGTTTTCTAAATGTAGTTGACACAAGAGAGTTTGTGGAGTGAGATTATGTTTAGCATGTTTAGGGAATTAAACAAGGGGGCTGAGTGTTGTCTGAAAGCAGAATTTGTTATTATTCTGATAGCAGATTTTTGCTGGGTAATGATGGACTTGAGGTGGTTTGCAGTGGTTGAACCCCATGCTCAGATACCATAATTAAGATAGGGATAGATTAGTGCATAATATAGAGAGATGAGAGCAGAGTTAGGTAGATAATATCTGATTTTGGAGAGTATACCAACTGTTTTAGAGACTTTCTTAGTTATGTGTTGTATGTGGGCACTGAAGTTGAGTCTCTTGTCTAGGAATAGGCTGAGAAAATTTCCATCATTTTTATTGCTAATGTTTACATTGTCTATCTGAAGCTGAATTGCATGTGTAGATTTTCTTTCAAATAAGATGTAGTAGGTCTTTTCTATGTTAAGTGTTAGTTTGTTGGTTGACATCCATAAGTGGACTTTTTTTAGTTCATTATTAACAACATTATTTAGTGTATGTGGATTGGGGTTAGAGTAGATGAGGGTAGTATCATCAGCAAACAAAATAGGTTTCAGAATGCTAGAGACATTAGGCAGATCAATGATGTATATAAGAAATAGGAGAGGTCCCAAAATGCTGCCCTGTGGCACTCCAACAGTTATTGGTAGAGTGGGAGAGGTTATATTATTGATGGCTACACATTGGTGTCTATCACTAAGATAGGATTGGATGTAGTCCAGTGTATGGCCTCGGATTCCATAATGATGGAGTTTACGTAAGAGGTAATTGTGATTAACAGTATCAAAAGCCTTTCTCAGGTCAATGAAGCGTCCAATCGAAAACTCATTTTTGTCAAGGGCTGAGTAAATTATATCAAGGAGACTAATAATTGCATCGTTGGTACTCTTTTGGGAGCGGAAGCCAAACTGACAGGGGCTAAGAATGTCGAATTTTACGAGGTAGGAGTAGAGCTGTTTGTAGATAATTTTTTCAAATATTTTTGAAAGTATGGGTAGGGTTGATATTGGTCTATAATTGTTTATGTCTGCCGGATTACCTCCTTTATGAACTGGCGTTACTCTTGCTTTTTTAAGGATATCAGGGAAGGTATGACACTCTAGGAATTTGTTGAACATCAGAGCTATAGGTGGCGCAAGGGCGTGGGAGGCGCTCTTGTATACAACGGATGGTATTTCACTGATGTTCCCAGCTTTGGTTTCTAGTGAGTGTATGATGGACACAACATCTGTCGGGCTGACTGGTGAAAGGAGAAAAGAGTTTGGATAGCTGCCTGAGAGATATGTGTTGATATGTGTCTGAGTCTGTGGGATTTTACTGGCAGGTATTGCTGCAGGTATTGTTCTTACTTCTAGATACATGTTACTAGCCTTAGTGTCCCTTGCTGCAGGTATTGTTCTTACTTCTAGATACATGTTACTAGCCTTAGTGTCCCTTGCTGCAGGTATTGTTCTTACTTCTAGATACATGTTACTAGCCTTAGTGTCCCTTGCTGCAGGTATTGTTCTTACTCTTAGATACATGTTACTAGCCTTATAGTCCATTGCAAGAAGTTTTGCCCCGAGGTCTTTGTTGTGCATCATGCGGAAGTCTTCCTTAATGTGCATCATTGGCACCATGATGCTTTCATTTTCTGTTATCCAAAAGTTTTCCTCAAATGTCTCACTCTCCATGAACTGCTGCTCCCATGATCCCTTAAAGTAAACTGCATTTACCAGCACCATCCTCGTCAAGTTAGAGAAGAACCCTGAAAGGTGAGAGAAATTTTATATAAAACATTTGAAATCTTTGAACTGTATCATTATTTCTCTTCAAGTAAATAACTAACAACTGAGAGATTAATGCACAAGTTGCGTAGAGTGAAGACGAATAAGAATTAACAACGGCTCTTTTATGATTCTGTAATATCCAATATTTAGATTATTTTGGGTATTAACTAAAGACTTACCTTCAATATATGTAAACATGTTGTAAATGCATAGATGTTGCAATGTAAAAAGTTTGTTTCTAGTTGTTATTTTAATTATAAGGTGTGCAGGTTAGATGGAATTGTTAATGTAAAAATCTCCGCTGAGTTCTGATTATGACTTTGTGTTTTCTGTAATCTGTTAATGTTGAGCTCCTGCTCACAGGATGAGTACGAGGTCCCGCTCATAGGACGAGTATGAGGTCCCGCTCATAGGATGAGTATGAGGTCTCACTCATAGGACGAGTATGAGGTCCCGCTCATAGGACGAGTATGAGGTCTCACTCATAGGACGAGTATGAGGTCCCGCTCATAGGATGAGTATGAGGTCCCGCTCACAGGATGAGTATGAGGTCCTGCTCACAAGATGAGTACGAGGTCCCGCTCATAGGACGAGTATGAGGTCCCGCTCATAGGATGAATATGAAGTGACGCTCACAGGATGAGTATGAGGTCCCGCTCACAGGATGAGTATGAGGTCCCGCTCACAGGATGAGTATGAGGTCCCGCTCAGAAGATGAGTACGAGGTCCCGCTCATAGGACGAGTATGAGGTCCCGCTCATAGGATGAATATGAAGTGACGCTCCCAGGATGAGTATGAGGTCCCGCTCACAGGATGAGTATGAGGTCCTGCTCACAAGATGAGTACGAGGTCCCGCTCATAGGACGAGTATGAGGTCCCGCTCATAGGATGAATATGAAGTGACGCTCACAGGATGAGTATGAGGTCCCGCTCACAGGATGAGTATGAGGTCCCGCTCACAGGATGAGTATGAGGTCCCGCTCAGAAGATGAGTACGAGGTCCCGCTCATAGGACGAGTATGAGGTCCCGCTCATAGGATGAATATGAAGTGACGCTCCCAGGATGAGTATGAGGTCCCGCTCACAGGATGAGTATGAGGTCCCGCTCACAGGATGAGTATGAGGTCCCGCTCACAAGATGAGTATGAGGTCCCGCTCACAGGATGAGTATGAGGTCCCGCTCACAAGATGAGTATGAGGTCCCGCTCACAAGATGAGTATGAGGTCCCGCTCACAAGATGAGTATGAGGTCCCGCTCACAGGATGAGTATGAGGTCCCGCTCACAGGATGAGTATGAGGTACACAAAAAACCTTTCGCCTAGACGGCAACAATAAACTATATAATAAGTATATAATAAGTTCTAATATCGTCAAGTGTCAAAAGTAAAAACATGACTGTACCGAGGTCGCTAAAATTGTGTGGAGGCGCCGACCACCCCATGTACATCACTTATGCTTACCTTGTAGTTCCCACAGTGCTGTGTGGAGGCGCCGACCACCCCATGTACATCACTTATGCTTACCTTGTAGTTCCCAGAGTGCTGTGTGGAGGCGTAGACCACCCCATGTACATCACTTATGCTTACCTTGTAGTTCCCAGAGTGCTGTGTGGAGGCGTAGACCACCCCATGTACATCACTTATGCTTACCTTGTAGTTCCCAGAGTGCTGTGTGGAGGCGTAGACCACCCCATGTACATCACTTATGCTTACCTTGTAGTTCCCAGAGTGCTGTGTGGAGGCGCAGACCACCCCATGTACATCACTTATTCTTACCTTGTAGTTCCCACAATGCAGAAGAGGACAAGCTGCTCAGCACAAAGGGGAAGCCGAGCCAGGAGCCCAAACACTCTATCTGGCCTAGAAAATAAACTTATGGGACCTCAACATCCACCGAAGAAACTAGGCTCAGCCACCTTGGGACAGCCACCTTGGGACAACCCCCTTGGGACAGCCCCCTTGGGACAGCCCCCTTGGGGCAGCCACCTTGGGATAGCCACATTGGGACAGCCACCTTGGGACAGCCCCCTTGGGACAGCCACATTGGGACAGCCACCTTGGGACAGCCACCTTGGGACAGCCTCCTTCGGGCAACCACCTCGGGGCAGCCACCTTGGGACAGCCACCTTGGGACAGTCATCTTGGGACAGCCACCTTGGGACAGCCACATTGGGACAGCCCCCTAAGGACATCCCCCTTGGGACAGCCACCTTGGGGTAGCCAACTTGGGACAGCCACCTTAGGACAGCCACCTTGGGACAGCTATCATGGGACAGCCTCCTTGGGGCAGCCACCTCGGGGCAGCCACCTTGGGACAGCCACCTTGGGACAGCCTCCTTGGGTCGGCCATCTTGGGACAGCCACCTTAGGACAGCCACCTTGGGACAGCTATCATGGGACAGCCTCCTTGGGGCAGCCACCTCGGGGCAGCCACCTTGGGACAGCCACCTTGGGACAGCCTCCTTGGGTCGGCCATCTTGGGACAGCCAAATTGGGACAGCCACCTTGGGACAGCCCCCTTGGGACAGCCACATTGGGACAGCCACCTTAGGACAGCCACCTTGGGACAGCCTCCTTGGGGCAGCCACCTCGGGGCAGCCACCTTGGGACAGCCACCTTGGGACAGCCTCCTTGGGGCGGCCATCTTGGGACAACCACCTTGGGACAGCCACCTTGGGACAGCCATCTTGGGACAGCCCCCCTGGGACAGTCACCTTGGGGCAGCCACCTTGGGACAGCCCCCTTGGGCAGCCCCCTTGGGACAGCCATCTTTGGACAGCCTGCTTGGGACAGCCACCTTTTGACAGCCACCTTGGGACAACCACCTTAGGACAACCACCTTAGGACAGCCATCTTGGAACAGCCACCTTGGGACAGCCATCTTGGGACAGCCTCCTTGTGACAGCCTCCTTGGGACAGCCTCCTTGGGACAGCCTCCTTGTGACAGCCACCTTGGGACAGCAACTTTGGGGCAGTCACCTTGGGACAGCCACCTTGGGACAGCCTCCTTGGGACAGCAACTTTGGGGCAGCCACCTTGGGTCAGTCACCTTGGGACAGCCACCATGGGGCAGCCACCTTGGGACAGCCACCTTGTGACAGTCACTTTGGGACAGCCACCTTAGAGCACCCACCTTGGGACAGCCACTTTGGAACAGGCACCTTGGGGCAGTCACCTTGGGACAGCCACCTTGGGGCAGTCACTTTGGAACAGGCACCTTGGGGCAGTCACCTTGGGACAGCCACCTTGGGACAGCCACCTTGGGGCAGCCACCTTGGGGCAGTCACCTTGGGACAGCCACCTTGGGGCAGTCACCTTCGGACAGCCACCTTGGGTCAGCCTGCTTGGGACAGCCACCTTGGGACAGGAACTTTGGGGCAGCCACCTTGGGGCAGCCACCTTGGGACAGCCACTTTGGGACAGCCACCTTGGGGCAGTCACCTTGTGACAGCCACCTTGGGGCAGCCACCTTGGGACAGCCACTTTGGGACAGCCACCTTGGGGCAGTCACCTTGTGACAGCCACCTTGGGGCAGCCACCTTGGGGCAGCTACCTTGAGACAACAACCTTGTGACAGCCACCTTGGGACAGCCACCTTGGGACAGCCACCATAGGGCAGCCATCTTGGGACAGCCACTTTGGGGTAGCCATCTTGGGACAGCCACTTTGGGGCAGCCACCATAGGGCAGCCATCTTGGGACAGCCACTTTGGGGTAGCCATCTTGGGACAGCCACCTTGGGACAGCCACCATAGGGCAGCCATCTTGGGACAGCCACTTTGGGGTAGCCATCTTGGGACAGCCACCTTAGGACAGCCACTTGGAAACAGCTACCTTGAGACAGCAACCTTGTGACAGCCACTTTGGGACAGCCACCTTGGGGCAGCCACCTTGGGACAGCTACCTTGGGACAGCCACCTTGTGACAGCAACCTTGTGACAGCCACCTTGAGACAGCAGCATTGTGACAGCCACCTTGGGACAGCCACCTTGGGACAGCCACCATAGGGCAGCCATCTTGGGACAGCCACTTTGGGGTAGCCATCTTGGGACAGCCACTTTGGGGCAGCCACCATAGGGCAGCCATCTTGGGACAGCCACTTTGGGGTAGCCATCTTGGGACAGCCACCTTGGGACAGCCACCATAGGGCAGCCATCTTGGGACAGCCACTTTGGGGTAGCCATCTTGGGACAGCCACCTTAGGACAGCCACTTGGAAACAGCTACCTTGAGACAGCAACCTTGTGACAGCCACCTTGGGGTAGTTACCTTGTGACAGCCACATTGGGACAACCACCTTTGGGCAGCCACCTTGGGGCAGCCACCGTGGGACAGTCACCTTGGGACAGCCACCTTGGAGCAGTCACCTTGGGACAGCCACCTTGGGGCAGTCACCTTGGGACAGCCACCTTGGGGCAGTCACCTTGGGACAGCCACCTTGGGGCAGCTCCCTTGTGACAGCCTCCTTGTGACAGCCACTTTGGGAGAGCCACCTTAGGACAGCCACATCTAAACAGCTACCTTGAGACAGCAACCTTGTGTCAGCCATCTTGGGACAGCCACCATAGGGCAGCCATCTTGGGACAGCCACTTTGGGGTAGCCATCTTGGGACAGCCACTTTGGGGCAGCCACCTTGGGCCAGCCACTCAGCACACAACCCTACACCATGTAAGTGGATGTATGCAACCGTCAATATTATAAGCTCTAGGCTACACAACAGGAATTTCATCAAGCAAGACAAAACAATCATGTTGATCAAAATGTTTGATAACTGATACTAATGCCGGACAGGACAGTGACCATAATATGGTCCTCGCCACACCATAATGCAAATAAGAAACAATAAAATTTGCATTTCGTTTCTCAGTTCATAATATATAGAATTTTAGGTCTAATAGAGAAAATTATGAGGAAGTCTACCCACTTACAGCATGACCAGTGCCCGTACTCTACCCACTTACAACCTGACCAGTGCCCG